AATAAAGGACTCTAAACTCATCATAATGTGTGTGTCCGTAAAACTGACCCCTAATTACATCACTGTATCTCTCAATGATTGCCATATAGTTATAGAGCCAGCCCTGAGTGCACTCCCGATTGTCGGGCGGAATGTGTCCCACAATATGGACAAACTCTTTGGCCTTTTCGGCCAAATCTAACTGATATGACAGCCACTTGAGTTGATTCGCCGGATCTATCGGTTGATAATATGTCCAAATGTTGAGTCGCGCGCAATAATTGGTGTTCACTACTATTACCCGAAATCCGGGCCTTACTCTTACAGTATAATAACCGGCACTGAAATAGTCATAAAATTGCAAAACAAAACATAATTAAATAATATATTAATAATAATTATTTAAAAATTTAATTACTAATAAAACGATTCCAGCGATTCTTTTGGCAACCATTTAGACCAGTGTTCAGACAATTCATCGAAAAGCCATGAAATGGAGAATTGATTTTGCAGTGAAGGTGGAGGAAAACTATTGAAACCAAACCATTATAATGAATGAAATAACACATACAGAGCACATGTCATACCTGCCCACCGGAACGGCCACGTGATTGCCGATCGCCGGTATAACCAACTTGTTTTTGCTGAACCTTTTGAAATAATCGGCGATTACTTTTGTGGTTTTCAATGAGTTAGGCCGCGAGTCCTGCCACGTATCGTGAGCTGTGCTAAAAGGTATGTCCGCATTAATACAATTACATAGGGATGTGTAGTGTCGGGCACTGCCGGCCACTTCACACTCACACATCTCCCGTCCAATACGTCCAATCAATGGACGACCAGTCGATTTGTCTGAAAGTATTGTCCAATGTCTGTAAGGGTGTGTCGCACGGGTATGAGCCCCAGTAGTTGGCGCTCATATTTACTGCACCCGCTTTACCGGCCGTTTGTCGGCAACAATAGGGTGTCTGACATGTGTTGTCAGTGAAGGGCACGTAATCTAAATCCAAGTGAATATCTGTTATGTGAAGTATTTTATATATCTTTTTGCTTTTCAAAAAATGTCTTTTGCGATAGTCATCGGTCCGATCGGGTATATCGAGCTTCCAGTGCAGGTTCTCTGACTCCCCACTATAGCACTGGTCGCCCATCACTAGACCGCATATCTCTGTCCNCAACTGATCCAATACTGTACATTTCTTGTCAAACATTGTGTTTAATTAGAATAGAAAGTCTCGAAATTTTGAATTGCTTGCAAATTCTGACATAAATAAAGTGATAAACATTAATATAAGTGATAATGACTTGGACTTGGATAGTGGCGAATGTAATTCAGACACAAAGTTGACCACAAATAATGTGGCCAAAGATATGTCTTAGACGGCTGTCGCAGCTCAGCGGAAAATCCTATCGCTTTATATTCTGTATTGAATTTTACATACTATTGCATGCAATCATATGTCATTTTTAGTGAAGGGGTGCAATACTACCTAGATAAGATTGCATATGATTTTGAAAAACACGATTTTACTGAAATTGACTTAGTATTGCATGCACTACTAAGTCAGGTATTACGGTAATTATATTATAAAATGTTAATCATTTGCATTCATTCTCTGATAGACCTAACATTACAATTGCGAGCAATGAGACCGATAGCCGCCGGCGAAGAGATTACCATTAGTTACGTGTTATTACACCAAAGCCGTGCGAACAGACAAAAGGCACTTAAATTCTGGTCAATTGACTGCGAGTGCGATAAATGTGTCCAACAATTGGACTCTCGGATTGATTACGAGAAGTATTTATCGGGAGATATCCTCCCATTGAGAGTCTTCTCGTTTGGCTCACAAATAGTGGATTATGTGCGACACGTGTTGACCGAATTGGATGTGATTTACGGCGTCTATCATCCCGTGAAAATATATTTGATGTTCACTATTATTATGGCTCTATTTAATTGTCCGCTAATTCCCGAACCCGTTATGAATGAAATGAAAGACGATTTAATGAAAGCATTTGACGTGACATTTGGGGCCAACTCTCCATATCGGGCCCGTATTATGCATAGTATAAGTACCGGTCAATTATGCGAACAATTACCGATATTGAAAATGTAATTAATTTATCGCTCATTTTAATAATTATCGGTCAGTTTTGTGTGAACTATACATTTAATTGTGGCCTTAATTTGTACTACTTTTGAATCTATAATTAATTTCATTATAAAATATGGTTTTATAGCAACATTATTATTATTATTATAATTGTAATTATTAGTATTTTTATGTTTAGCCAATTTAAGTCGTGATTATGTTTTTCAATACATTTTTAAACATTGATTTTACTCACAAATATTTGTTTCTTTTTTCAATTGTTTTCAATCAAACTCTTATTTATTATGTAATAGTATTCACAAAATACTGTATTTCACGTATTGTTTATTAATTATAATTTCATTGTCTGTTTTAATTGTAAATTCCTATAAATATTGTCACAATAAATACCAATAATACTATGAAAATAATGTATTTTAATCCAAAACTTTTATTATTGTTTTTTATTCATTAAATGATTATTGAATTCAAGTCGTGATTGCGTTCAATGAAATAAATATTAAATTTAATGCATTTTATGTCAATTTAAAAATTGTAATTTAATTAATAAATTAATTATTTTTATTAGTTTAATATTTGCGCCAAATATATGGCAAATAATATTACAGCCAATCGTTTAAAGCCATAGGTTTTGGACACAAATCATGTGATCATTGTTTGACTCAACCCTTTGTCTCACATTTCATACATTAATCCATCAATTGATCCACACTTTAGTGACAACTTATTCACAGCATATTTACCATAGATTTGATCACAAATTACATCCACTTTTATCACACAATTGGATCAAATCAGCGGTAAGTTTACAAATGTTTGCTACAAAATAGTAAATAAATGTGATTTTATTAAAACATGTTTTCATTTGTTTTGAAATCTATGGCCAGAAATGTCACCAAAACTGTCGAAACAGTTATCACCGGGAGATGTGATAACCGAAGACATGCCACTCATTCATGTATTGGATGTGGAATTCAAAGGCAAATGTTGTGACAAATGTTTGAAAAGATCGGATCAATTGAAGAGATGCTCGAAATGTCTTCGTATGCATTACTGCACTATTGAGTGTCAGAAGAATGACTGGAAGTATCACAAGAATGAGTGCCCACTCTTTGGCCATCATGTGATTCAAGACATGATTGACGATAAATTTGGTGCCCTTTGGCTCCGACTCTACCTTTCGGTGCAAAACATCCCAACGTTTGCCACAGAAAAGCATCGATTGATTGACGGATCGGAAGTCAGTCTCAGAGACATCTCTGTGGACGTCTCGGCTGCGAGCGATGATATTAGAAGTCATTGTCAGATCGTTTGTCTTGTATTCACTGAATTAGGCATTAATTTTGATGCGCAAGAAGTGCTCCATTGGTCACAATTCTTGGTCACTGTTTCTAATTTTGGGATCAAATTTGGCGATCAATTGAGTATTACTAACACCACTGTTGGAAGCGGTCTATACGTGACGTATTCACTGTTCGGCCACAGCTGTCAACCCAATAGTGCACTCGTTATGAAAAAAGGTATTTAAAAAACTATTTTATCATAATTTTAATCATTTCTATTCATTCAATGACAGACCTATCGTTACAATTGCGAGCAATGAGACCGATAGCCGCCGGCGAAGACATTACCATTAGTTATGTGTCGTTACAACAAAACCGTGCGAACAGACAAAAAGCACTGGAATTCTGGTCAATTGACTGCGAGTGCGATAAATGTGTTCAAAAATTGGACTCTCGGGTCGATTACGATAAGTATTTCTCGGGAGATATCCTCCCATTGAGAGTCTTCTCGTTTGGCTCACAAATAGTGGATTATTTGCGACAAGTGTTGACCGATTTGGATGTGATGTACGGCGACTATAATCCCCTCAAAACATATTTGATGTTTACTATAATTATGGCTCTATATTATTGTCCACTAATTCCCGAACCGTTTATGAATGAAATGAAAGCCAATTTAATGAAAGCATTTGACGTGACATTTGGGGCCAACTCTCCATTGAAGGCCCGTATAGTGCATAGTATAAGTACCGGTCAATTATGCGAACAATTACCGGTATAAATGTTTATAATTAAAAATGTAATGTATTTGTCGTTGGTTTTAATAATTATCGGTCAGTTTTGTGTGAACTATACATTTAATTGTTGCCTTAATTTTTACTACTTTTTAATCAATAATTTTATTATAATATATGATTTATAGCAAAACTTTTGTTATTATTTTTATTATTCTAAATGTTGAGTCAATTTAAGTTGTGATTATGTTTTTCAATACATTTTTAAACATTGATTTATTGTAAAACATTTGTTTTATTTTTCAATTGATAAAACTCTTAATTATTATGTAATACTATTCATAAAATACTGAATTTCACGTCTAATTCATTAATTTTAATTTCATTGTCTGTTTTAATTGTAAATTCCTATAAATATTGACAAAATAAATACCAATAATATTATGAAAATAATCTATTTTTAATACA